GAGGGTCTGCTAGGGAGGCTGTGCTGCTAATTGGCTGGAATGTGTCTGCTGACTGTGAGGTACAGGGTCAAAGTTTACTCAATGATGACGAATAGGGGGCGGGTCGAACCGCGCATATGTTCGCCCGCCGTGGCGAACGCGAACATGCTATGTTCGCCAGGAACCGTTCGCCGGCGAACCGTTCGGTACATCACTAGCCATCACCCCTTTCTTTTTGACTACAAACAATATGTTAGAGCAGTGCACAGTTCTTGATAATGTAACATTATTTGATGCCACTTGGATCTCACACAAACATCATGTTGGTTTAGTCAATTCACTACAAGCCTCTACATACAGCTTGTGAATGTCAATTAACAGGGTTATACACAAAATCTAGGTCAATACAGCCGAAACATTCTCCAAGTTAATTCTCTTTTCAGCTAGGCTAATTTGACTTTGATATTTCAAATTTACTTTTGTGAATAACCCAGTAAATTTGCTCTCCATGTCAATCTGGTAAATTAATGTAAAAATTTTTTGTTTGTTTTTTTAATGAAAATCTATAAATTTTTAATAGCAGAAATCCCCAAAACAACACCATGATAAATACTATTTTTGCTCCTGTAGTCAATCCTGTAGATAGAGGAAAGGGTTCTTTCGATGCTTGTAGTTCTTGGGTCAGTCCTCTGCTGTCTGAGACAAAGACAAGTACAAAACAAGAACATTTAGAGGACTTTTTGTCCCAGTGGACATTCACAGGTTTAAACTTTCAAAAGCAAAAGGTTCTACAAACGGAAGAATAGATCTGCTTAGCTATGAGCACTGCTGGCAAATCCTAACATAGACTTACCTAAGATTAGATGAGTCCAATTTAGCTGTAATTTTATTAAAGGACACGGAGGCTCTTATTATGCTTTACTCTTTCCTTTTATTCCTCAGCAGCAAAAGAAAATATTGTGTATATATATTCAATGCAAAAAGAAAACACTTCAATAACATTACATCATAACTTTGCAAGGGTTAACCATATACCACATATGAACCAATCAGAGTGTCCCTATTACAATAAAGTCCCATGTGACCCTAAGCCACTCCTCTTTCTTTTGCTGCTGCATCCTCAGCTAAGTACCATATTTTTCTCCCTCTGTGTTGCATGCCAGTTAAGATTGTATTTATTGTTCTTTTTCAGCCCTCTCCCTTTATTTTCATCAGTTTGTCTTCCTTTCTGTTCCCTTTGACTCTATCCTCTGTCTCCCTGCATCTCACTCCCTTCCCCCTCCCCCCTCCGGTCGGTTTGTTTATTTCCCGACCGTCTTCCCCTTTCCCTCCACTACCAGGGCTTCCCCCCGCTCAGGTACCTCTGTCTTTTCACGGTCCCAGTGGACCGCCGTTTTACCACGGCTCGGGCCGCCCGCGCATGCGCACACCGTGAGTGCGCATCGCGGCGGCCATCTTGGGATTGGCAGTTTTGCCGCGCTTTTTCTAGCGCGGCCAATACTGCTCGTTTGGGGGCGGGAGTTAGTGCTCTGTTGCTGGGCAAGTCTCCCGGTGCTCCCCAGGAGCTTATTCCTGAGGGAACACTCGGTGAGCTTGCTACAGTTCTGTTTAGTCTGTGCCTGTTTGCATTGTTCATATTTCAATTGGTGCCTTTTGTGCCTGCTAGTTGCTTTAGGGCTACTGTTTCTATGCATATAACTCCCTGCTGGGCTGCTCAATTATATAAACAGTGTTTCTGCCTGTCCTGCTGCCCCCTTTTGTTTTTTCTTTCATCCCTAAGCATGCAGGCTGATAACATGGCTGATGGAGCCACCAAACCTAGGGCCACCATACCCACATCAACCCCGGTAGGGCCCAAAATTCCCACTGTAATTGAAACAGCGCAGGAGCAAATGGACTCTGAGGAGTTTCATTCTCTCCTAGACGCGGCTATGGCGAAGTCTGTGACGCAGGCTATATTTACCGCCATGGGTGCCATGTCGGATAACTTATCCCATTCAATAGCCACTGCAATGAGATCCACGCAGTTGCCACCAA